TAATAATAATAATAATAATAATAATAATAATAATAATAATAATAATAATAATAATAATAATAATAATAATAATAATAATAATAATAATAATAATAATAATAATAATAATAATAATAATAATAATAATAATAATAATAATAATAATAATAATAATAATAATAATAATAATAATAATAATAATAATAATAATACAGAGTAATAAATAAGGGAAAGAAACGGATATCCGTTATATATACAGTCCTTGCTTCCATGTCTTCTTCGCACGACCGGGACTGGCCAGAGAAGAGCTGCTCTTAGTACCGTCGAATACCAGCACCAGCATCCTTCTTCTCCGCTCCTTCTGCCAAACCAGACCAGCCAGGAAGAACGCCGGAGTTTGCCAGATAATCGCCGGAAATCTTCGCCGGAGTTCTACCAAGGTCAATTGAGGTTTAAATCGTCGATCAATGTGAGTGATTTGTCTCTCGTTGGATTTAATTCATAGATTAGGATTCGTTGATATGTTTTTGTTCAATCGACGTTGAATTTGTGGTTATGGTTATTGAATTGTGTGATTGATTGTGTCGAAATTGATTGTGGATTTGAAATTGGTGAAATTGATTTGGGGTTTAATTGGATATGTTAGATTGTACTCGGTTCTTCCGTGTTCTTGCTCTCCTATGTTCATGTACTGCATTGTTCTTCTCTTTTCTTTCGTTTTGCGTATGTCCTCTCTCTCTGCTCTGTTTTATCTTGCTGTGGTGCTGCCACTGGAGGGTAGTGGCTACTAAGAGGCGGACTTTGGGTTGCTAAACCAAGAGCTGGAAATCAGCTTTTTAATGGGTAATTGGGCATCGAAATTGATCGAGGCTCCGGATTCTAATTCCTTATCTTATTCCTTGTGTTGTGATAATCGTGGCAGGATGGTATTTGTGGGAACACTTTGCTTTTGGTGTTAATTGATTGTGTTTGGAGAATAAAACTCTTAGGTGATATAGATCACCTAGTATATTTAGAAGACTCAGAGTCGGGTGGAATTTTTATGAATATTGTAATCATTATAGGATTGAGGATTTTGAACTCAAGGTCATGCAGGTGTCGGCGTACACCTGATGGTCTCCAGGGTTAAAGCGTACGTACGGGAGTCCGTGACCTGCCTCGGCACCTCCGTGGTAGGGGCTCAACCCGCCCAATTGGACACCTTTCCAAGAGTGTCCATGACTAGTGTGTTTAGTTGAACTTTAATCGAATATGTTAAGTATGGTAACAATACACAAGGATGTGAAACGACGGACGTACGAACGAACAAACGACGGATTATACTGTTTGATGATTGTAGTTACTGATTCTTCTGATACTGTGTGATTATATGTTAATGGGTGCTAGTCTATGAATTAGTTCTAGCGTTAGATACTTCCACTCTCCCTATTTTTACAGGTAGGGGTCAAGGATTAGGCTAGGAGCAACCTGGAGGAAAGTGAAGCATGACGCTGGTGGATGACCCAAAGCTGTGTTGAAACGGAATTAAATACTTGTTGACTTTTATTTTGTTTAAATTACAAGAATGTTTGATGGTGTTGTTTTAAAGGCTTCCGCAACGTTTGATTTTGTTTACTCCGATTAAATTATGAATTGTCTTTAAATAAAATGAATTTATGTTTTGATTTTAAATGTTTTTAAAATATTATGCATGTGAATACCAATTTAGTAGCAACCCGATTCGCTAACTCGTTGGTTCGGGTTACGTGGGTTGGGGTGTTACAATATATATATATATATATATATATATGGGATCAACTCCACTGAGATTACACCTTACGGTAAGGTGACATGCTACGGTCAGATGACGCAAAGCTCACCCCTGGAAACTGTAAAGCTCACCCACATCAACTGTAAAGCTCACGTGAATGTATGGCAAAGCTCACCACTTTTTTTTACACTTTGATTTATTTTTTGAAAAAAATTAAAGGAAGAGGTGATGAATTTGACCCATGTTGACCACTGAATTTGACCACTGACCGCCGCGTTGACCACCTCCGCCAGGCCGCTAGTCTTTGCCGCCACCGGTCAATGTTGGTCCAAGTCACCTTTTTCTCTTCAAATTTTCAACCTAAAAATTTGGTGATCTTCGTTTTTATGTTCTATGAGCTTTACATAGAAGAATGGTCAGCTTTTTTCTTAGGGTTTGTGACCATTGAAACTTTAAAATTTTAAAAATTCAAAGTCTAAAAAAATTATGGTGAGCTTTTCCATACAATTTGGTGAGCTTTGCAGTTGTCTTTAGTGAGCTTTGCAGTAATCAGTGGTGAGCTTTGCGTCATCTGACCGTAGCATGTCATCTTACCATAAAGTGTCATCAGACTGGAGTCAATCTATATATATATATATATATATATGTATGTATGTATGTCTGTGTGTGTGTGTGGGTGGGTGTGTGTGTGTTATAAATGTGAAAGAGGGTTAGGTACCTCTTAATTATATGAACTTTATCCATCCAAAAGAGTTGTATATTATGCTTTGGATGTTGTACACTAATCTTTAATCCCAACTTTGTCATTACACTGTTAGTAGGATGTTTCCTTGGGAATTCATGTCACATTAATATTCTCAAATAGCTATTAATTACTCCATAAGTGATATTGATTAAATGCTTTTAAGTTTCTTTTATTATCTATGATGTTGAGAGTCTGCTTCCTTGCTTCATCCCAATATATGGTAACCCAACCAACCTCCATGGTCTTATACACACACACACACACACACACACACACATATATATGTGTGTGTGTGTGTGTGTGTGTAGACACACACTGTAATACCCCGTATCAAGATGGGAATGGGAAGAGCTCAAAAAGGATTGATAGTACTACTCATACCAACAAGGTGCATCTTCTTTTCGAGAGCTCATCACCTAGAAACTCTAAGGTTAAGCGTGCTTGACCTGGAGCAATTCTAGGATGGGTGACCCCTGAGAAGTTTCCCTGGGCGCGCACGAGTAAGGATAAAGTGCGCGGGAAAGACTTGTGTTAGTTTGTGGGGCCAGTCTACAATCCTAAAAGCAGACACTTACGGCTAGAGTGGGGGTCGGGGTGTTACAAATGGTATCAGAGCAACCCTGCGACCGTGACGGGCTAGAAGAGCTTAGTTCACCTAGCGGGGAAGATCTATGGGTTCAAAAAAGGATGCAACGAGGACGTTGCATTCCTAAGTGGGGGTGAATGTAATACCCCGTATCAAGATGGGAATGGGAAGAGCTCAAAAAGGATTGATAGTACTACTCATACCAACAAGGTGCATCTTCTTTTCGAGAGCTCATCACCTAGAAACTCTAAGGTTAAGCGTGCTTGACCTGGAGCAATTCTAGGATGGGTGACCCCCTGGGAAGTTTCCTTGGGTGCGCACGAGTAAGGATAAAGTGCGCGGGAAAGACTTGTGTTGGTTTGTGGGGCCAGTCTACAATCCTAAGAGCAGAGCGGTGTTGTCGTCGGTGGTGAAAAATAAACGGTGGCAATAAGTGGATTTTGACAACAATAGCGGCGATGGAGCAGGGCATAGTGCCAACGAAGGTTCAAGTGATAGTTGGGGGGGA